TGACGGAGCAATTTCGACTGAAGAGGAAATCAGGTATGCGAATAGGCAGAGGGGTATAGAAGCAATACAGGACAGGCACCGAGTCAACAATAAGTGCAACGGCTTAAGCGCACCAAAAGTTAAATTGACGATCACGCAGAATTACATCATAAAGCCAAGGCAGTTTTACTACAAGGTTTCCTCCCACATAAACAAGAGTGTTAGATATCTCCGGGGCCGCCAAACCGGGAGAAGTGGATCATGTTCAGAAAGCGATATTGAATAGCCGATTGCGATAAAAACTGCACACATGATTGTGATTAATCTGAATGGCGTCACGTCCCTGAACAAACCTGAGGTTTTCTGCGCACCAGCCTGAACCTCAATGTGCTTTGTCGTCCAACCGAAGTGGGAAGAACGTTAGGGATCCTGGAGCCAGTAGATGCGTCGGGCATCCATTGGACTATTAACATTCATGCCTGTGAGTGATGATGTGAGATAATCAAAATCGATTACTTATGAGCACGTTATTCCAAAATGAAATGTTTTGTTACTACAGTCATGTTTGTGCCTTAGTTATAACAAATATAGAACATTGTGAATCAGACAAAACAAGATTCCTTACTTAGAACCCTCCGCACATTTCTGGGGGGCCCATGTTGCGACTCAACGAGCCCAGCGATACTCGTGGGACAAAAGCCTGTCCGACACGGAAACTAGTCTACACTGAACGACGAGTCGCACAAAGATTTGAACGCGTCTGATTCTGCCCTCTCTCTATAGCTCCAACTTCACATAGTTCTGGCCTCAACATCTGATTTCCACAAGGTGGCGTTCTTTGGTGTGGCGAGTTGTGTCTGTTTTCCCTCTGGTTTCACGTCAATCGTCTTTTCTTCTTTGTCTCGATAATAGCACCTCTATCAATCATCCCAAAAATTAATTCTGATCGTAGAATTCTATCAAGAATAGATTGCGCGGCTGGGGTTACGGTGTTTCTTCGTTAGTGGTACACCATGATGTTGGCTGAAATTTGTGCCACCATGTCCGAGCTATGGCCGCATTCGTAGCTAGCCTGAGTGCTATATATTTACTGCACAAGGCATTGAGGAAGGTCTGGATCTTTCGCGCTCGGTAGATGTTAATCTTGATGTTGGAGGATACGAGGTTTTGGGTTTAGTTTGGGAGGTTTGTATGCTAGACACTCAGTCGCCTTCATTCTCCATTTAGAACTTGACGTAAGTATAGCTGGGCTGCGTGAGGCCGGTGGCGGGGTAGAGGGCAGTAAATCCATGTCGGCTATATGACTAGATCATCCCAGACCTCTTCGTGTGTTGAATCGTGCCAAATCCGACTGTGTAGAGAGTCTGGGAAAACGCGACGAAGGGCGAATTCTTCTTCAGCATCGACCACCACGCGCCCATACCTCTGAAACTCATCGCCTGGGCTTTCTTTAACCTGTCCAGGTCCTAGAAGTGACTTGGGCTAGGACATTTTATCGAACCCTAAGCTTGTTGTGGTCATTATGAATCCAAACTTCGCCGCCAGAACATCTTCTCCATACTCCCCCATATTTTTACGCCCTATCAGTATGATGACTTTTCCCCATTCGACGAGAATGAATGGGCAGTGGAATGATGGTTGTGACGGATCTTGGGTCTCTCTGATTCAGAGACAAATCCATTGTGGGGACTTGAAGCAATTGGATTGTGTGAACTGTTTGAATTGGATTCTCGGATAGATCTGGGTCTATCGGTGCATTGCACGTCGAAAGTCATGTACTGTGCAAGTTGTGAGGTCACTGCTGGCCGGGTGTTTAGTACAAACATCATGCAAACTCCTTCAGGCCGCCAATCTTTCACACAGAGTTGATCCCACCCTTGTTCCCTGGTTAATCTCGGCTGTGAGGGAATATTCCAGACCAAGATTTGTGGAGGGCACCGCGGCCAGGTATTCAGCCCCCATTCTTCAAAGATCTGGGGGAGGGTATTACTCAACCGTGTGAGGAGCTGGGCTGAGAAGATGCCACAATTTCAATTGGCGAAGGAAGTGTCGACAGAGAAGAGGATTTGAGGCGCCTACGAGATTGCGCGCAGACTCCACGCATGCTTGAGCGTCCACGTAGATGGCCTGGCGATGGGTGGCGACTTCAAATTTGCTGATTTCGAGCCATGACCCTGGATTGCAGGGATGTGCGGGTTCTGAGATAATTGATGGGCCTCGTCTCGTAGTGGATCCGGCTAGCAAAGGTGATGAATAGGCCCCGGCTTGGGACATCGTAGTCTCGGTCGCCGGCCGCCCTGAGCAGGAGTCACGGGGTATATTTTAAGCCTAAGGCATGAAGGCAGAAAAAGTGGACCAGCAGGTCAATTTGTAGAGGAGCGGCATGACGTCTTCAACTGCCGGGCGCACACCCCAACTCTATTCCGGCGTCGGATCGCCGCTGGTGGCCCGGGCCGAGCTCGCTTCCCACGGAATCGGCACCCGGTCCCCCGACAAGGAAGAGCCCCCCTGCGGACTGCGTGAGGGGAAACGGCCTGCCAAGGAGAGGCGGAACAGGGGCTGTCGCCATTGATCATCTACCTGGTACATTCATCCTCTTCGCTCCCTTCGTCACTGGGCCCAGGGTGGACGGACCTCCGTCACTACCAAGATGAATATCGTTGTTCTCCCCCCTTACCATGGCCTGGAGGAATGGTCCACCAACAGTTCCGAGATGGCAGGTACGACACGTGACAATCTAAGATGCTCAATCCTCCACCTCAGCCTTTATCTGCAGACATCCGGCCTTAGCCTGATCCCAAGGGCATGTCCACCTCGTCAAGCATGTTTCCTTACAAAAATTGATGACAGAACCGATGTGTGAGCGGATATAGAATCAATTCTAACAGCTCCTTGAGAGATAGAAGATTGATGTGTCCTGATTCTAACGACCCAGCAATCACCTGAGCGGGCTTAAGAGACGATGGGCGCGTCGTGACCGAGTTTGAGGGAGTACCACACCCTTATTTGAGCAAAGGGTTACATATGCATAGTCAAACCAATAGATCATCCCAGTCTGGCGCCGGTACCTTACGTGTTCCAATGCGTCCTCACCTGCGTTAAACTCACGGGGTCGGACGCTGATTCCCTGGCATCCAATTCAAGCCACCAAACTTAGTTTACGTGTGGCACAGATACACAGCATCTTGTAGCGTCAAGCCTTTACACATTGCCTTCTGCACCAACAATCATAGTTAATAATAAAAGACAGAAAAATTAAAGAATTTGGGCTACATTGATCATATCACGCTAGCAGTTCCCCTGCAAATTGAGTTATACTGACTCACATGTTCATCCAGCAAATGATAAACTCTTGACCCGATCTAAAGCCAACGACAAGGTCCCGGTGCATCTTAATCTATAGCTCCTACCAGGTCGACGATGGTTTTTGTGTAAGCGACACTGATCTGTCTGTCGACACCTGGTAGAAGTTAGAAAGAAAGCCATAGACGGCATAGATATTGAGAAACTTGGGGTCATTTAGAGCAGGCCACCTTCGATACAACTTATTCGAACGGCCTTCGATCCTTACCGATGTCCATGAAAACGTGCAAGATTATGGATAAGAGGGAGTTAGGCGTCGCAGTATGATGCGTCGATAAAGAAATTGCCGTCAGATATATCAAGAAGTATGTCTGATTTACAGTGCTTGCACAGATTGCGGCGAAGGCAAATCGAAGATATTTCTGGACCATGAACAATTGACGAAAAGATTTAGGGAATTGTATTCCCCCCTCACTTGCCGCCGCTCATGACGGGCGGATCCTAGGGATCGTCAGTATCATCGACTCCTGAATCAAAGCGCATAACGCCCACATTTAGTGCCTTCATCCCATCTCTTCGCACCCATCCCTGCGAGATACAGCCCTTTTGTCCTAAGTTGCCAGGCCGCCACTAACATCATCTCGGCCCGGCTATACCAAACTAGTCAGGCAACGGGCAGCGGAGCCTGATGACTTAAGAGCGGGTCGAAGCATGACAACGTGTTTCTAGCCTCGAATCGCCGATGCCTTGTGGGGTTAAGGGTCAGCTGATGTTGCTAGTGGTGAAAGCGACGTGTCTACCGATCCAATGGTACGCTATCGCCGAACACTACAAATCCTGTCGTAATGTACATCTTGAAGCTCGAAATGATGAGACCTGCAGGTTCTGAATGTAGTTTGGAGCGAGCTCGTGTAGTTGTCTTTGGCCGCCCTCGTGAGACATTTGCTGTTGCTACTACAGTTGCCAGTTTTATCCTCTCGCCGGCGGGTCTCAATAGAGGTTGGGCTGCCGCGAAGCCATGAAAGCTTGTGTGAAGGGACATCTTCGCCACATCGCCCACCCGATAGGGTGATATATAGGCGATGAATCGATCAATCTATTACCCGGCTTGGTCTGAGCTCACCAGCTATTGAGTCATAGCCTAGCTCGATGGCCTAAGAATGCCACATACACAGAAGGGCACTGACCTCCGCGAGTTGTAGCTCTGCGGTCAACTTCTGTTCTCAGGGGTCAGAAGGGGCTGTGGGGAAGGACAAACAGAGGGATTGTCATCTTGACCCAGGAGGTGCACTTCCCGGCAGTACATCTTCAGGAGTCTTGGCCGATAGATTGGGGTTGAAGTCGCAGTTATTGTAGTGCGGTGGACAGGGAAAATAACCTGGTGTAGGAAGAGATATCGACTAAGACATGACGGGCTAGCCGGTTTAAATGGCATGGTGAAGGGAATGGGGGCGCTCGATACCTTGCCGAGCGCGCGTGAAATGTTGGCGGATGGGGGTCCCCTGCATACGCAGCGCCTCGCTTCACACTAGCGGCTCAGCAAGGACCAAGTCAGGCGGCCCACATACTTCCCTCTTCACCCAAACCAGCCCCTACCATCTGAAGAGTCTCACCGCATACCAAGAATTCATCGTAACGACTACGACGAAGGCTCAACCACTCGTCACTCTCCTTCCCTCCCATCACAGATCACGCACCGGGCTTCACACGACAACGCCATGTCATCGGGCCGGCTACAGGGCTTCGTCCAGCGCGGCGGGCGTGCCGGCTCTCCCTTCACGACGGATCGTAAGGCGGCGCAGAACTTAAAGTTTCCGCCACGCCCACCGTCCGCGGCGCCGGCGCCTCCCAATTACTCTAGCGTGGGCGGTGCGCCCAACACACACGTGAGCCAAAGCTTTACTCGGCCGACGCCAGCAAGCCCCGGCCCCTTTAATGACGGCTTTCCGTCGCGTGCACTCGATTCCTCAGTTGACTCAGACTTCGACCGTACCAAGACTGATCTCGCTGGCCACGATGCATATGGCGTGAGTCCGGTCGCAGCTGATCCCTGGGACGCCGCTGCCGCCTACGTCTCCTCACCAGCCGACTCCTTACCCGAGCCGGTACGTTACCTCGCGTCTCGGCCACCATCCGAGCCAGCACCCTTGCGGGGACCCAAAACGGGTCGCTTCCAGGCCCGCGACAGTCACAGTCTCGAGATGCGCCTGAGCCCCGGGGAACCGAAACGCCCGCACTCAGATCCTGGCCTCTCCGACCCAGATCCCGAGGCCGACGCCGCTCTTCGTGCCCCCGATACTCCCCGCAGTCCGACACCCACACGCGCGAAGCTCTCGCGCATCACAAAGCCGGTAGTCGCCGCAGGCTCACCGCAGCACCTCGCCCATGTTAGCGCTGACTACGATGACGAGGCGCTCCAACGCATGACCTACGCCGAACTTGAAGCTCAGACCTGGGAGGAAGCGGCGCCACGCAAACCGTTTGTCTACCCGCGCGAGCTCCGCGCGCCCGGCACACCACTCGAGAGTAAAATTAACTACTATTTAGCGGCCGCACCGCCGACGCCTGGCGCTGCTGCCAAAGCTGCCGAGGCCTTCTTTGAGCAACTCTCGAGTCCAGAGTGGGATGAGGCTGGTGAGATATTTATGGATAAGTTTAGTGCGCTCATGCGACAGCTTCAGGCAAAACGGCGTGAGAAGCGACGCATCGCTGAAGCTTACGAACGCGAGGTCAAGCAGCGCGAGCGCTCTATTCGCCATCGTACCCTAAGACTCGAGCAGAAGCTGCAGAAAATGCGCGCAAGCGGCGAGAGCATGCTAGGAGCACCGAGGGACACCAGCAGCAAGATAGCGGCCACGAAGGGTAATTGAGCTGTGATGGAATTGCAGAGAGGTGATTGCGAGTCGCACATAATCTAGTAGTGCTGCTATTCCACATCGGTCAATATAGCTTGATTCTACCGTCGCTACCATTAGCTCAGGTGATGTCTGATTCTCATTCTATACTTGCCGGCTTTTTTCGTCGGCCTACTCCTCTCCATCGCCGATCACGGTCTGCGCATAGGTGGAGATATGTAGCAACCTATTCGTTCATAAATGGCGTGGCGTCTTTTCCTCCACGGATCGTGTGAAACGCCTGAGGCGCTTCTGTGGGGTCTTAATATTGACGTGATGCGAGCTATGGATCGATAGAGTCCCCGATGCGCCATCTTCATAGTGCCTCTCAACCCACGACACGTCGCACTCTATGCAGCAGTATCAGCAACGTACGGGGATCTCACCTCCATCATTAGCCATGCGTCTCATGGTTGCGTGTCTCGTGCCCCCAACTCCCAACATCGTAAGCCCATTACTCTTCGCGCACGGAAGGAGGCGGTCTCAAGTTGATCTTTGGGCAGAAGTCGACCAGCTCATCTTTGCTACGAGAGCGGATATCGTTTTCCTTGGGTTTTCTAGAAACATTGGCCTGCCGCTGGAGGGCTGTGGAAAAAGGCACCCAGACAGTTGATACGACGTAGACAGCGGCCTCAGAAAAGGTCACATCATTGCTAGCGAAAAATCGGCAGAGGGAACGGGCATATCCTGCCATTGCTGCTGCTGCCGCGCCCCTCTCCAGGACAGGGGTCCCGGCCGAGAAAAAGCACGGTCCGCAACTCCGCCCGGCCGCGCCGACGCACGTTGACTCCCCATTTCCGCGAGCCGGAAATGCCAGAGCTGCTTGCACCCGCCGGCCGTCTGATTCTATTATCACGTGGTTAAAAGGTCACATGCCCTGTGGTTGGCTGGATTAGGCTGCTGCACCCGGGACGCAGGTGCCAGGGAGCACGCGGCCCCCAGTAACGCCTCTGCCCTCCGCCTAAACTCAAGTGCCCCTTTTGGCACGCCGCTTCTCCTCTTCCCCAGTTTCTCGCTCTCTGCGCCCGGTCTCATTCAGAGGCGTCCCCGCCCGCACTTTAGTAGCTGAGCCGTGCCCTCTGCCATGCGTCATGAGAGGCCACTCCGGAGGCATATTCATTTCCACAGATATGGGCCTAGCTGCCACGGCTCGACCAAGTGTCCCATCGGAAGGATGACAGGAGCATCGGGTATTCCAAGGGGACATATGTGTAATAGAGTTTTATCTCCCCGCATAGTCCTGTGACACGGCTCGTATTGATTTAGGACAGCCAGTGCTCTGGTCGCTTCGACGTCTCGTCTCACCTGTCTCCGTCCCGGGGGTTTGTCGTCGTCGCCGCCGCTTGACCGGGATAAGACTCGTGTCGTCGTTGCCCTGCTTGCCTGCAGGCTTCGGCCTGACGTGTCAGCCAGTGTCGCGGTACCAGCGCCACCAGCGAGTTGTCCGGGACCCCCGAGATGGCATTATTCTTGCGCATGCAGGCTGATCTTCCGGCCCCGGCGAGGACACGAATGGAGTCGTATCGCTGAGGCAGGTGGGGGGATGCTGCCTCTCATCGTTTGTTGAGCCGGGCCCATTCCCACGCCAAAGTCTGGTGGAGAGGAGATGGAATTCAGCCGACTGATCCGTCTCATTCTGCATACAGGCTCTGACAGATTCTCCGGCTTCGTGAAGCGCCGGAATGTATCTTCGCTTCTCATTTCTTGGGGTTTCTATGCGCGGCATGCTCATCCCTTGCGCACATGCTGGCGCCTAAAGGCTGGTCCGCTGCGATATCCTTACCAAAAAATGGACCATCCTGGCCCTGGCGATATCGGTAAGTCGTTTTTCGAATCGGACAAGGTCTTTCGCTAGTATGAGCCTTATTTTCTTCAACGAAGAATAAGGTTACTGATTTATTCACTTGAGCCTCGATGTCGGTGAAACGAGGGCGAGGACTAGAATGATACAACAGCGTTCGATTGGCATAGGAGAGAAGGCTGCACTTGCCTATGTGGTCGGCATCGGATGCTTCTGTGGCGCATCAACGCTCTGAATGAAGCCGAGCGATCTTGCTTTGCGGATCTAGGACGCATGGTGCTGGGTTGGGAAGGCTGGGGGCCCCTTTGCAGCGGCACGCGGGTTCCAGGCTTCGGTATCATCGGGCTCCTGTCCTTCTCAAGATTGCGAGAGGCACGACTCCCTTTTGTTTAGATCAGGGGTGAGAGTGAGGCAGGGCGAGATGGCGTCTCGTGTTCAACTGGGTCCAAAGAAGAGACTGCGGCAACGGTAACGTTGCGATTCTCTGTTATTCGGGGCCCTGTCCTCATCGTGAACCCCAGATTTGAATTAGGCGGCACTCCTACGATCATCAGGCTGCTCTTCCCTTCATCTTTTCTTTTTCCCTGCCCAGACCCATCCCCGCCCCACCCACGGCCGCGGCCGTAGCCATGCGGGTAGCGTGGACGGTGTGAGTACGGGCATCAACGTGAAAAACAATGCGATGTCTGCACCACCGACCTGGGTTTCTCTCGCGCGGTGGGGCGAAGGCCCGGCCACCATGATGGCCAGACGGAGAAATGGGAAGGGTCGGGCGTGGGCGACGAGTATAATGATTAGGCGCAGCTGGGAGACAGACGTCGGAGGTCCACCACTACAGCGCAACGAAACGGGTGTCAACCGGGCACTGGAGGTGACGAGATCGACGTGGAACTGGGTGTCATGGGCGGTCTATGAGCGGGTCCGAAGCTGGTCATGAGCTGCTTAATGGTTCGTCTTCCGGATCGACTAATTTATCGTGTTCTCTCAACTTGCTTTTTGTTTCTTTCTTTTCCCTAATCTTTCTCCAGCTTCATCTTCAGCTGTAGCTGCTGCCGTTGCCGTGGTAGTTCCGGGTCTCTTTCCCCATCTTCTCCACATTCGTCCCCCCTTTCCCCCCTTTCTCACGGCGCCACCCAACCACTAACGTCTAGGCTGGACGGCTGATCAGCATCTTGTGGATAGTCGCTATCTACGACTTGGGGGGCGCCGGGGTAGATGAGAGTGGCCGATAGAGCGTCGAAGCGGCGTAGACCTCAAGTAGGCATCCGGTTAGAGGCCACTAGAAGACATTGGCGCCTAGTCGGCAAGCTCCTGGACTCTCCCACTTTCTGTTGATGCCGGCGCGTGCGTCTGCATCTGAGCAGTAATGGGGAATTATGAAAGGCTAAAGGGGGGCCGGAAAAGCCAGGAGATCCGGGAGACGAGGCCGCCAGGGAGATGCAGACAAGTGGCAGGGCGGGGTGGGCCAGCGAGCCCGACGTGTTCTGCGCTGCATCCCGTCGGCCGCGCCTACGTACCGGGACGTGTAAGAGGGTAAAGGGGTGAGGGGAAGACATAGAAGTCGCTTTAACCTGGGGGACGTCGGTTTCCCCGCAATCCTCCGCTTGACTCGGACCAGGCATGACAAGCGTTACTGGCCTGCAGGATTGATTCCACGCAGCTCGCCGAGGAATCACGGTGCGCACAAAGACTGAGCGAGCGTCGGTGTCCCCTCTTCGCAGCCGGCAGCGCCTGACCAGTGGCCCCGCGCTCATGCGGCGGTGCTGTGCGAAGCAGCTGGTGGCCGCCATCAAACAGGACCCAAATGGGGCTGGGTGTTTGTTCCAGCTGCGTGTCTAGTCATTGGCCAATTTCTCACACTCGCTTGACTCGCCCCTTTCGGCGGGTTAGCGGCCGTCTCACCACCGTATGTTTGCCGCCACTTGGACTGGGAAAGCCGAGATACACTGCGCCGGCTATGAAGCGGGCCTCGCTGACCTTATTGGCTGTGGATGGAAGGATTCCAAAGACGCAAAAGTCTTCTCGTCAGCCTTCCCTAACGCTGCGCTGGTATGGGGAAGCCAATCTGACCATCTCGTGACCCTGTAAGGGCGTGCCGGATCATCCGTCAGCCCCAGCCCTAGCCCTAGCCCTAGTAAAAGCCCTAATCCCTGATTACCCATTCCCTTTGACCCTTCTTTGTGAGCCAGTCAGGAGGACTCCCGATCATTCATCGTTTCCATTAGCCCGTCACACTCGTCAGAAAGCGCGTCCCTGTTAGTTCTGCCTCGCCGCCGACACCCGCTCCAGGCCCCTGGTAGTGGTGGGGCGAGAGCCACCGGCAACCGGCGAACGGAAGGGAAGTTAACCGCCCAAGCTGTCCCGTTCACTCGTCGGTCTCTTGCTCCTGGTCTGACACAAGCCGATTAAGGGGAGATGATAGACGTGGCCAGCTCCGAAGCTACGGCTGATATGGTGTCGGTCTCTCGCCGTCACGCAGCTGCCGCCGGTGCAGAGGCGGGTCGAGGCTGCCCCACCCCCTTTCCTTCCCGTCGCCGCCATCGCCTGGTCTAGATGCGTCGCTTCCTCTTAGCTGGCGACGGGGCTAGGACACCATGGGGACAGACAAACACACTGCAAACTTGAAACTAAACATCCTGGATCCCACCAGCCTGCGTACTAGGGGGTGAGCGCCCCCGGAAAGCCAATCATATTCCCTACTCCTTCACCTGCTGCCTTCGCTTCAGCTCTGAGGCCACCAGGCCACCATCAAGACCTTACCAACGATAGCGCCCTCCACCCACTCTCCCTTCCCCGCCTGGTCGCTGCCCCGGCCCTTGTCAATCCCCGGCGTCGTCCCTAGGCCCCACAGCCCCGTTCCCCATGTCCCTCGTGCGCCGTCGCCGCCCACCATCCGTCATTCATCCTTTTCTTTCGCGCTCCACCACCACGACATCCTCCGCTGGTCCTTTTATATTACCTCAACCTGCTCCACTCCACCTTTTCCTCCACTCTCCCGCCGAGTACTTCATCTGTTGCTTCCACCAAGTATTTTGTCGATTTTCCTTCTCCTCTGATTCTCTCCCACTTCACTCCAGGTAATCTTTTGAATCAGCTTCTCCATCACCATCATCCACGACAATACCATTATTGTTGTCAACAAAATCATCAATAACACCTAACCACCCTTTCGTGGTCCTTCCAGATCCAGTATCTCGAGATCAAACTCCACCTTCTACCTCGCCTACAACCACCATCTTCAATGGCTACGGTCAGTCTCCTGCCTTCCGTAATGGCTCGTTCTCATCGGAGCGAGAGCCGTCAGGATCTACCTAGGCCCTACAAGTGCCCTTTGTGTGAAAAGGCCTTTCATCGTCTCGAGCACCAGACTCGTCACATCCGGACTCACACAGGCGAGAAGCCGCACGCATGCCAATTTCCCAGCTGTCCCAAGCGATTCTCTCGGTCTGACGAATTGACGCGCCACTCTCGCATACACAATAATCCCAACTCAAGACGCAGCTCTAAAGCCCCCTCTAATGCCTCTATCTCCTCAGCTTCAATTGCTCCCGAGACTCCTGTGCCAACCATGGCGCCCTTAATGCCCCCTCCAACTAATCGTTTGGTATCTCGCTCAGCTCCCGTATCGGCCGGAAGCTCGCCGACTATAACTCCATCTATAGTATCGATGTCCTCTTCTCACTACAGTTCATATCCTGTCACGCGTCCGCAATTCCCCAGCGCTACACCCTCTCGGACTGCTAGTCCACGTGCGAGCCCGAACCTAGACCAACTTCATCACCATCACCCTCCTCCCTCAGTGATTCCTGGCGGAGCGGAACGCGATACCAAAATTTCAGCCATCTCTTCGAATCGACTACCGCTGCAACCCACTCAGCAGAGTCGAAGTCATCTATCATCGCTTTCAGCTTACTCAATGTCGCGCTCTCACTCTAGCGAGGAAAATGATCATTACACTCATCGTCACACGAAGCGTTCCAGGCCGAACTCGCCTAACTCAACCGCTCCGCCTTCCCCTACGCTCTCACAAGATTCATTCTCACCCACTCCAGAATATACTCCGCTAGTTACTCCTGCTCACTCGCCACGTCTGCGTCCGTTTGGCGGTAGCGTTTACGATCTTCCTACATTACGAAACTTCTCCCTCCACTACGTTCCTCCTCTTCCTCCCATGGAGCCGCAGCAATTAGATTCATCCTATCATACAGCCTCTCTTAATCCACAGCCTCCCAAACATCCGCAGCATCGCACCTCAGTCACCCTCGGCGATATCCTGGAGGGGCCAGAGTCCACTCAAAATCACATGGTGGTACCTCAAGTCTCTAAACTTGCCGTCCAAGATCTTTTAACCACTACAGATGACGTGTTCAGGACTAGATATAACACCTCTAACTCTCACAGAAATGACCTGTAAAGTCATGTCTGAGCGCCAGAGCTAAGCAACTTACACCCAAAAAAATTACCTCTCTGGTAGTCACCTTTGCCTCTAGCGTGAAGGGACTGGTCTAGTCGCAAGAAGAATAGGGACTAGTGATATCTCTAGCTGAAGATATAGTTAATTTGGCAGCGATATCGGAAATTCTGAAATCACTCAAAGGGTAAGCGTCTACCCTAAATTTTGGAAGTATAACTGATAGCTAGACGCGCAGATCTTGGGGCACAATACTATGTGACAAATTCTTGCCAACAGTAAACTAAATAAACGGACGTTTTGCAGCAGTCCAGTAAGTAGTTCAGGGTGAAAGCCCCAATAAAACTACGAAAAACACCTCGACCACGGGCTAGATTCCCTTCTGGGCTGGATAACAAACCCGAAAACTGTATCTCTGCATTACCAGTTGCCTTTGACAAAAGTTCCTCACCGCAATCTATTCTGCGTAGTCGATGTGCCTTTGCTACTTTAAATTATCTACTCAAGTAGTACTACCTTTCCTACCCACCCCTGTCTAGGAATGATTGCGATCCATTCACGCTTTGTACAGTAATAGGTGTAGGACGCTTGGGCGGCTAACAAGATAAGGATTTTGAAAATGGAAGATTCATGTGACCCGGTCTAACTGTTCTAGACAATGGGGAATTTGGAAAATGTGTACCTCATTAAGTGGAAACTACTAGCATCAGCAGGAGAATAGGCCCGAGCTAGAGTGGAAGATATCAAGGAAGTTTTATAATCTAATGAAAACAACTACTGCTCCCATGTCATTCTTAAGCCTCGATCGGCCGTTGTATTGCCGGTGGGTCACGCGCACAGAGCTATTGAACGGAATCCATGGCCGTATTCGATAACGCTCGGCCTGCTCATGAGACCCGAGGCTCTATGTCCCCGATTCCACTATATTGATGCTGTCCATGTTAGCCTTACCAATTCCAACGCCATTTCTATCTGACACCTGTCTCGCTACAGTTAAAAGAAAGTTTGGTAACAATTTCACAAGCAATGACCCTCCCTTGATTCTGACCCACTTATGTCATTGCCTCATTTTTCCAAATTTCCCTGTCTAGATAGCGTCCACGAAATGCCACTATCCTCTAAAATGAGAATAAGTGAGGCAATTATCAAAATACCTTAATCATATTATCTAGCCACCCAACCATTCAAGTACTGTATTCACCTAGTCCAGAGACTAATTTACCTCAAATTAAATTACTACAATCACAGCCCCCACAAAATTACCAGTTTATCGCAGTGACCGTATGGTAGCCCTCTATCTAGCCTACCACACCTCCCATTTTTGCGTACCCATGGCTACCAATCGATTAAAAAGCTCGTTTCTTGCGGACATGGCTGTCAAATGCCTCGATGTTCCGTCTTTATCGATAATTACCAACCCATCAGCAATCTCCCGCGATGTGAGCCACCCAACAATCAACTTCGACTTCCAATCAAGACCACCTACCTTCTTTATCTCTCGAATGTTGCACAGAGAGATAGAAAAAACTGCACTGCCTTCACATTTTATCGGTGACCAGCTCAAAGTTGAGTCGTTAAGCACTGTGGTTATGTAGGCATTACCACGGACCCCTTCAAACCTACTGGGGAAGCATGTTGGACCAGCGGGTGTTTCACTACCAGTCTTCAAAATACCAAGCCGATTCTTTGCATTTTCGACACCAGCGGCAGCTTTAATGTGATCAGTGCTAAGAACTGTTCCGATAATCCCTTTCGAAATTTTTTTGACGGCAGTGACCATCAAGTGGTTATAATTCCTCGTCTTCTGGCTTGATATATCTTTCGGATCGGTCTTATCTAGTGGTATCGACGAACAAGACATAGCGCCTGTTCCATCAGCCGTGGAATCTACGTCAAGTTTGTCAGCAATGGCGCCAAATAACCTTAAACTGTCATACCAGATCTCTCGACGTGCGAGCTTAACCTCTGCAGATGTTGTCCAGGTCTCATCGAGGGGGGGGGAGGAAGAGGAGCCTTGTCGGCCTCGCCCATTCTGAGCAGTGTGATAGTGAGTTGAGCGTTATTGGGGACGCCCCTGAGTATGTTATTTTGAAGCTCTAGTAGTCCCCGCCAATTTGGAAAGTTATGATCTAGGAATATATGACATCTCTGTATCAGTGGATCTCCAAATTGCGCACAACCTATCAACAGACTACCTACTTTGAAAACCATGTACGGGCTTGCAAACAGAGAGATCAACAAAAAGACTCCCAAAACACAGGCAATCCTAAACCGAGAATTTTCAATTTGTAGCTGTGGTGTCGGTGAAAGAGAATTTCCAATTCTCTCCCATTCATCGGAAATCTTACTAATCTTAAAGCGTGAAAGTTAGCCTTTATTTCTGTCTGATATTTATTTGGACAGAGGTCGCTACTAAGACGAGTAATTTTCTATTAATTATAAGGGATTAATGGTTCTTACTATTTGCATAATGATCTTTGTCTTAGAGCTCATGAAATTAAACATAAGATCCTTGGAATTATTATACGTGTCATCAGATTTTCCGCTTTTTGTCTTCTCGTTTGCATCTACAGCATGGATAGCGATACTTGCAGGATCAGGACTGTGTTCTCCCAAGCTACTTGCTGATTTATCCTCTTTAAGCGAATCTTCCTGTGGATGTCTTCCAGTCGCCGCTTTAGTCCAGAAAATACAGCCGGTTAGCTTCTATATCACGATAATTAAGGAAACAACATCTGAGGAAGACAGTTGGAGAGCACTTTGGCTAGTTCAAGTTAGACTCACCACTGTAAGCAATCATAGCAAAGCTATTAACAAAGTTTATAGCTTCGGCCTCCAAGGTCTCTTCATAACTCTCTCTTGGCTCATTCACTAAAACCTTATCTTGATATTTTTCCGGGATGTTTTTATAAATTTTTTCTTTGGCAGAATGTAAGAGTGTTGTTTGTTCTGGTGGAAAGCAGAATGCACGGAAAGGAGAGTATGCAATTAAGAGCATGCAAAAAAGGATGATAGTTGGGGATAAAAGATCTAGGGCCCAAGAAATAAAGTAGGCAGTGGCAAACATTATAGTTCTTCGGGGCTCATGCCAGGATCTCAGTCGTGTAAGATGCTTCCAGGAAATAATTAACCCAACAATCACTGTCATGTAAAATCTTTCCACGATTGCTCGTAGCTTCTCAGATGAAAATTCTTGTTGACTTGATGTCTGGAAATCAAGACCCCCCTTAGGCTCTTCTTGTGAGACTTTGACATGAAAGATTTCCTCTAACTTGTTAGTACCTCACTCCTTCAAATAGATTAACAAGCTACCTTGTTAAATCTTGTGAGAAGGGTCCAGAACTTCTTATTATTCAGTCGATCAAAGAATAACTCTGGAATATCAGCAGAATTTCTGCTCCATCCTAAATCCTTCAGTTTAACTTCCTCAAGGTTATTCTGCAGTATTGCCCTATCTTGTATAGTAAAAACACCTGGTTGCAAATCTTTAGTTGAGCTAGCCTCTAGAATATCTTTATCTACCATAGAGCCTGGTCGATCCTGCACTGAAGCTTGGGAAATGCCACATGAGCCAGAACGCGATGGTAGTTCGTTGAGGGGCTTTTTAATGGTTGCCATAACTTGTATTACTATGGTTAAAAGCAGTCAAAAAATTCATAGAGACGATAGATAGGTACAAGAGACGTAAGTTGGCATTTAACTTGCTATAATTAGACACAGATGATGGATGGAAAGGAGACAATTGACTCTATGTGAAGTTTACTTTGTAATTCAAAGTGGCGTCACTGGCGGCTTGCCCCTTCCTCTAACTTTTCAAGTTGTACCCATGAGACTTTGGTTATTTGGGCTCGGCAAAGGGTTTGAATCTGAACTAAAATTTTGTTGAAATGGAGACACAGAGTTTTATACACGTATGGGCCCTCCATTTCGTCTAGGTTCCCGACACGATCTCGTGTGTATTTAAGAGGTTGGAATAAGCAATTGGGCAGTGCTTCAGACTACAGCATGAAAACATGAGCAGCTGTATGGCTTGGGCACATGGAGTTCATTGGGGGCTTTCTATGCCTGGATGGCACCACAAGCGTTTATGCTGTGGCTTAGGCCATGTGTCGCTTACACTTGTGCTTACAGCGCATAGCTCCCACTCTTTGAGTCGACTTATCTTTCGTTCCAGAAATATTGCGCCTTCTTCATTGCGCCATATTTCCAATGTATTTGCTTGAAAGTGAAGCTGGAAGCTTTAATTGCAGGGCCATGGCTATTGATAAAAGGAGTTGACAGTCTTACTTAGCATTTGTTCCAGTAAAGACGGTCACATTAAATTCTAATTAATAGTGTGCAGTAAGATCAGAAGAACTATCAAGCTTGTCTAGCTGATAGCACTGTGGGTTGGAAAGATATAGCCTGAAGTATTTTGTTAAAAGAAAAATTATTGGTGTTGGAATTACTACGGGTGGTTTCACGATCGATCGTAATGATTCAGTTAAGAGTTGTACGTTTCTGTTTTTTTTTGTTTTTTATATTGAAGTCCTAAGCTAAAGCTCTAGGTCCACTATCGGTACAAGACTGGTGGAGCCGGCGGGGATCACTGCTTACAGGCCCAACTCATTCCAACCGCGAGACCCGCTACAGAAAAAGTAGAAGGTAAATTATAACTCAGAAGACATCACCTACTCCGACTCCGAAATCGAGACTCCATCCTTCAACCCTAAATTCAAGTACATGAAAATTTTCTCAGAGAAACAACACTTCTCGCATCGATCCCTTTTGTGTCATGCGTTATGGCAATGACAAGATTGTCTGATCCCCGCTGAAAGCAGAGGATGAGTGGGCAGGTTGGCTATCAAAACAGCCGGTTTCCTCCGCAAATATTTTGAAGCTATTGTGGCACTTGGGCCCGAGAAGCTTTTTGATAAAGTCAGCGCAGGACATTGAATTTCTGAGCCTACGCGTTTGTTGTGCGTGAAGGCTACAGTGGATAAAGTGGGTTGGAGTAGTTTCCTTCCCGCAAGAGCACTCCATGGGAGCGTATGGATTATTAAAACGGCGATGGTATGCCGCAAAATTGCCGTGACCCGTTCGTGCTGCGATTAGTGCCCGGAGCAGGTGCCTAGAGAGAGACAGTTCGGGTGGTTTGCGTCTCCGCACCTGTAGGTTGAGTTGGCGGTATTTAGGCGGACAGGCCTCTTCCCACCAGTCGTCTAGCAGCCTCTGTCGTCTGCCATTCATGAGACCACGTAGATATGCTAGAGAACACGATCCTGGTGGTGTCTCCTGGCTAGGCAATTCTCGAAGTGCTGCACGGGCAATGGCGTCGGCCTCTTCATTTCCTTGGATTCCTGCGTGCCCTGGAACCCACTTCACTGATATTTCAGCCTTATTAGATAACGCACGGAATTTGTGTTGGAAATGGAGACACGGAGTGTTGTGGACGTATGGGCCCTCCATTTCGTCTAGGTTCCCGACACGATCTCGTGTGTATTTAAGAGGTTGGAACAGGTAATATGGTAGCGCTTCAGGCTACCTATTGGACATATGAGCGGCTGTATGGCGTGGGCGCAAGGAGGTTATTGGGGGTTTTCTATGCCTAGATGGCGCCACACTCGTTTATGCTGTGGCTTAGGCTCTGTGTCGCTTACACTTGTACTTGTAGCGCACACTTCCCACACTTTTAGCTGTAATCCGAACATGACACTCTTTTAGTCAACTTCTACTTTCGTTCCATGAATATTGCGCCCATTACATTGCGCGATATTTCCAACAATTTGCGTACATCTTCAAGGCTGATTGAGGACGAGCCTGTCGTTAATGCGCTTACAGCCTGCTGGCTGTCTAGAAACACGTATATCTGCCACATACCTCCACCTTTCCTGAACTGCTCGTCCTCCGTGAATTCCAGTGCGGCCTCCAAAGCCTTCCTTGCTCCAATTATCTCTGCATCCAGTACCTCTCCCCCGTGCTTGATGCCACTTCCTTTGCCGATGAGTTTCCCATCCTTCCTCAGAACAAAACCCCAGGCGGAGCGTCCGTGTCCTTCCGATGACCCATCCGAGTATGCGCAAATGTCCGTTCCCGGCACCTCGCTAATCCGTCTAACGCAACCTTCGCGTTCCATCGGCTTTGAGCCTGATTTCCTAGGGTAAAACACTGGCATCGGACTTTCAGGGGCCTCTGCTTCCGGAAGCTCTCAGTAAGCACGCTGTAATCGTGATATCTGAATTTCCGGTCTGGCTGAGGACTTGGCAGTCTTTTTGTATTTTCGGGTGCCGACATTCGGGCACACGGAAGCGCGGATCCTCCAAGGGTGTCGATCATCAAGGTTCTTGAGCATTGCCGGAAGTCGGAGACGGTTTCCCTCAAGTTTGACCTTTGCCGGCGGGATTCCCCCTTCTCTGTGAAGGACTACATTTGGTGTTGTCCTCATTACTGGAAGTGCAGCCCGAAATCCCATCAGGTTCGCTCTGTCAATCATACCGCAGAGGTTGGAGGTTGAGGACGTGACTATTCCTCGAACGGTTGGGCGTTTGGACCCTGGCCACCAGACATCAGATCCAAAAGTTGCGAGCGAGACAACACACATGTCTACTGCCTTAGCCAATGGCCCAGGAGCTGCTCCCCGAAAGGCAGAGTTGAAACTGCGCATGTGCTGGGCAGCTTTTACCGCTTTACCGCACCACGCAGTTACGTGGTGTTTGAAATTGAGTCGAGTATCCAAATGTACGCCCAGCCATCGAATATGATCAGCGGGCTCGATGAGATTTCCATTCACGTGAACCCCAACTGCTTCTTCTCGGCGTCGTCCTGAGAATTGGATGACTTCAGACTTTTCCGTTTCGAAGGCAACGGTATTTGTCCCTGCCTACTCGAGAAGATGGTCTACCTCTCTTTGTGCAGCGCTGGCAGATTCAGCAACTGTGCGTCCAAAACCTAGAATTCCAATATCATCGGCGTAGCTAAACCTCGATCCTGGGTTGCCGCTTTTCATTGGCTCCGCCATGTACAGAAGGAATAGTAAAGGCGATATTGGTGATCCCCTGGGGACTCCACAGACCAGCTTTCTCTGGGTGGTGACTCCGCCGGAGAAACACACTTGTACCTTCCAATGTCTGAGGAATGAAGTCATCCATCGGTGGATTGAGTCTGGCCATCCCTAAGCTTGCATGCGCCTAACCAAGCGATTGTGGAGCACTGCATCGAACGCTCTTTGGACGTCTAAAGTTACGAAAGTTGAGGCCCATCCCTGGGAGCGTGCTTCTTCGACATCGTGGACTACGCAGGAAACCAGGTCTGTTGCAGATCTCTTTGGGAGCGCACCCAATTGTTGATGGCCAACCACATTGTGAGTGATTGCGAGGTGCGCCATTCGCTTAGCCAGTAGTCTTTCTAACCCTTTGCCTATGCACGATAGGAGGGCTATAGGTCTCCAGCCTTTGATTGTGGTTAGGTCCCGATTTGGCTTTTCCAATAGCACCACTTCTGCATGTTTGAAGCAAGATGGGTGGGTGCCGAGCCGTATGCAAGCTCTAAAGAGCTGCGTAACACACGGTGCGATCGTCTTCCAGCAAGCCTCGAGGAGCTTAACCATAACTCCGTCTGCCCCTGGTGCTGTCTTCCCACAGCCAATTGTGCAAGTTCGCACTTCTTCGTCTGAGATTTCACCTTCCCAAGGTATTCGATTATCGCTTTGAATATTGCATGGCGGAAGGTCGTCCGATTCTTGGTGGCGTGCAAGAAGGGCGTCTCGGAGAATGGTAGCTCGCTCTAATGGGTCTGTGATGTACTTTCCGTTGTGATTGAGTGGCGGAGGGGCTTTGGCCTGTCTATGGTTTACCGAACGCATCAGCTTGAATATGTCAGACGGTGCTATCATTGCTTCCACTTGAATTGTCTTATACTCTTTCTTGGCGGCTGTGATTGTCGCACGAAGCTTCTTCGCACAAGTGGCCCGCTGTGTCGGTGTCGTTGCGGCTCGGTATTCGGCGTGTGTAGATTTGCACATAGGAGTCCACCACGGTGCAGATTTGCCGCTTTCTTTTCTGGCCCGGGTTCCAGTCGCTTTGATGGCCTCCGAGAGATGGAAGCAAATCTCTTGGGCATACTCATCCACTTTCTCTTTTGTACTCAAGTCTAACGGCGGATGAACCCACTTCGCAACGGCACGCGCAAAATTTGGCAGATTTTTCTTGGGCACTCTGATCTTCGATGGGCCCGGGTTCCCGGTGAAGGTTGCTGCAGGTACGATTCCGCGGATCGGAAGATGGTCGCTGGTCATACACTCCTCTCTATCGACCCAAGCACGGGCTCCATATATTTTAGTCCAAGCGAGATTAAGAGTATTGCCAGCTTTATTAGTCGGCTCTCCAATTATAAGACAAGAGAGGTTGTGGTCTTCCGCCCACCTCTCTATCTCATCACCCTGTCCATAAAGCCGAGTTGCTCCCGGTTGCCAGGCAGAATGCACTGAGTTGAAGTCTCCGGCTGCAATGGACCTCGCAGAAGGTTTCCAGTCGACAAGCGTGCGGACTGCAGTCGGGTCGTTAGGGGCCTTATACACGTTGAGAAATGTGATTCCATTGACCAGTACCCAGCAATTGTCCCCAGTCAGCCTATTACAAGGG